TCACACAAGTTCAAGTTGGTTCTTTCCCGGTTTCTTCCTTCCAGAATTGTCTTCCTCAGTTGTTTGCTTCTTCCCATGTTCCTACGTGCAAAGTTTCCCCAGTATTTGCAATCTGGTGAAGTCCAGATGTGTCTGGGATGTCGGTCTTCAATCACTTTCCAAAGGGCTGCCTGTCCCTCTGGTGTCTGGAGATCTCCATCCTGTAGTGTGAATCGTTGGGCTGTCAAGCCCATTTTGTTGGCTATGCTTGTGATTTGAGAGTCCGGATAGCAAAACACTTCCAGGATGTCCAATCTCTTCGAACTGGAATGTCGTGGTGCATGTTGTCGTATCGGTATATCAGCCGAGTGTTGTGCCAGTTCTGCCAACTGATGCTCAATCTTCTGAACCAGGTTAGCTAACTCCTGTTCAAAAAAATGTTTCATCGGAGTGTCTGTGCTGGCTTGGGTCTGTGCTGTCATGGTTTCCTGGCTGTCATAACTCGACTTCTCTATTGGTTTGGTTAGGCTTCTTCCTCGGCTGAGGGGACGAGTCGGTTCATCTCGTCTTGCAAGATTGCAATCTGAGCCTGAATTTGTTGCACCCTCAGACTGGCCTCGTAGCTCATCTCGGTCTGCATGGCCCACGGATCGCTGCTGACTGGAGGTCCCCTCTTTGCCCCCGACCCACTTGCCAAAGACGTGATTCCCTTGGGAACTTCCGCGCTCTGCTGACTCCTCAATTCGTCCACCACATCCCAGTCTGTTGCGATAGCTCCATTCATGGCCCAGTTCTTCTTCACCATCGCGGCTGTTGATGATGTCATGACGGGCCTCTGATCGGCTGGATGACTGTCTGTCACATTCTCCATTGCCTTCAGGTAATTGTGGAAGCTCTTCGCCCAGGCTGAGGTGCAGTCTCCCTTCTTCACCATGAAGTGAGCATAGCTCGCGTCGATGGCCCGAGCTTCGGCAAAGGTCTTTCCCACATGCTTCCCTCCTGCCAGCACTTCTTCCCCCCCATTGCCGGAGGGTCTGAATGCCTGGTGGCTTCACGATGTTGGTCGCGTCGTACTCCGGCATCACGCTCAACGTGTGGTCTTCCTGGAATGGAAGAGGCATGTCCACACTGGATGTGGCCACATAGGCTGGGTTCACCTTCTTGGGCGCCATGAGGTTTTGTGCTGCGGGATGTCGATTCGACTGTGCTCGATGCTTGGGTTGCTGCCGGTGCCGTGGATGTGTCAAGTGTTTTCTCTTTCTTTTCTTCTCTAGTTACCGTTCTTTCATCAGTCAAATTGGTGACGACCTCCCATGTATCCCCGTGCATCAGATTCTTCTGGGCATGTTTCAAAATCTCAGTCAAATCCACAAGAAACAAACCCTTATCACTCACCTCTAAAGGAACACTGACCTTTCCTTGAAACATGCTCAACAACCGCTTCGACGTGCAGATATCGGCTGTCACTGCTTTCAGAAATGCGTTCGATAGCAAAAAGGGGGTCGTTCCATCAACAACTTCGATCTTCAACCACTGACGTCCGAACGGCAAAAACACAGCACCTAAGCTCGATAAAGTTCCATTGTTTCCAAAACGAAACACTGTCTCTGACTTCTGCCAAAAGATCTTGTTCCTAAACTCGTCCGGCAAACTGTGCATGAGCTGCTCTAACCTCTTTTTTCCAATCACGGATTTACTTGCTCCTGTGTCCAAAATGGCAACACTTCCATGATCAACAAAAAAGACCGGCTCAAAAGGGGAGTCACACCTGAGGCGTTTCTCAAACACATGACCTCTCAAACCCCGCGAGAGTTTCTGTTTCACTTGGTCTAAGGTGAGAGCAGCATAAATGAATTCTTCATTAACACGGGTTTCACTGTTCGAATCCCCAAAACTTTGGGAGGGAGGATTTTCTTCTCCCACCTGGCTGTTCATCACATCCGAGAGCACGTCCTCGCCAGGTGTGGCATTCTGGCGCATCTCATTCACCATTTCCTGAATCGTCATCCAGGAGTTGGTCATGGGCCACCAATTTGGTAGTCCTTGCTCAAGTGAAATGGGGAGTCTCTCAAAAATCTCCTGGTTCTCGGGATCAGCGTTCATTCCATCCTGGGTCGAGACATGGATCTCCGCCGCATTGGCATTGGGTCCTGACACTGAACCTTTGTTGGGGCACTCTTGTCGCCAATGGCCACGGGCACCACACAATCGGCAGTGAGAATTGGCAATCCTGTCGGCCAAAGACTGTCTCTTCTTCAAACCTCCTTTCGAAGTCCAAGTTCCCTTCTTCGCACCCTTTTTTCCTTTTCCTTTGATGGGAGGCCAGAATCCTCGAGCTCGAATTTTGTCACGAATTCCGCCACGAGCTTCGGTATATGCCGAGAAACACATGCTCAGGTCGGCATTGTCCTGGCATGCTTCGATCAACTGATCCTCGAACTCGGACACCATCAAGGCATCTTCATCACCATTCTCGATGAGCGCCTGGAGCACCGTCTCCTCGTCCGGCACATAGTCTTCTTCGGTCACAAAGGTCGGTGCATTGAGGTCATCATCATCTTCCATCAGGTTCACCGGGTAAACCTTCTTCTTGCCTTCACTTCCGGTGTTGCCGACCAGGATCTTCGGGGCCAATTGTCGCATAGATGCTTCCACTTTCTTGGCCTTGAGTTCCCCTCCGGTCATAGACAACACCCGTTTTTTGTCTTCCCCATTCAAGACACTCTGACGGAGCATGATGAAAGCCTGGACTTCCTGCAACGTGACATTGGCAATCTCGTTGAAGGCCACATTCATCCGATTGACGTAGGAGAACACACTCTCATCAGGTTTCTGCACCACTCGATACAGCGCCCGTTCAAACTTTTCGTAAGTTTGTAGTTCCGCCGATTCCTCCCATGAGGATACCGCACTGAGCAGCAGCTTAACTCCACCGTCTGGGTCCGACAGCTTCGAACCGTCAAGATTCTTGACTTGTGCCCATGCTGTTCCCTTCATCAGGAGGGCAAGTCTGGGTGCGAGCATCGGCTTGTCCTTTGGAGGACATATTGAATGCAGAAATCGAATCTTGTCCGAGTACTCCTTGGGATCATCAATCGAAGGATCAAAGGTTGGAAGGATGCTCCAAATGTGTCCTGATCTCTCTTCAGGGCCGCCTTCCGCGGTCCCGGATGCCCCGGCCATGGCAGTTCACAGTCGCGGGTAAAATGTCGTGCAACAAAAACTTTCAAATTCGACCAAATGCACACGTGAACCTACCCTAGGTGAATTCCCCAACCAAAAAGGACCTATGCCTCCTTGCGGAGGCTCCGCTACCAATGTTGATCTCTACCCTAGGATCTCAGGAAACCCTGTTCCTACTAACCGAAGGCCGCCTCGCCTTTTCTTCTATGTGACTAGCCTCCCTCCCGCCCTTTGGACGTTCGAACCGTCGAGCGGGGCATGTGAGACAGCATCCAAACTAGCGAGTTTCACAGTATATATATATATATGTGTGTGTATGTATATATATACAGGGGCAAAGGATATAGTCGCCACCAGTTCCACGGACTACTCGCAACTACTCCCAGTACTTCTCAGATTTGCCACCCTGATGTTTTTAGGGCCCAATGAGGGGCAACTGAGTGAAAGAACCGCCTAATTATTCTACCTTGATCATATCCAGAATCCAATCATCGACTCTCAGCGTCAGAATCCTTTTGAGCTCGCAGCGCCCACCACAGAGGGACGCCGCCCAAATCCCTCACAACGGTTCCAAAAGGCCCTCCACCCGGACGCTCCAAATTGTCTCATGGCTTCGCCACTTCCACCGACCGCGGACGGCGTGGCGGCGCCCGCGGTTCGTCCTCGGCCAGAAGCGGGCGCCGCTGGCGAAGGGTGCAGAGGAGCGGAGGAGGTGGACGGCTAGTAACAAGGGCATCGCTACTAATAACAAGTGCATCGCTACTAGTAGCCAGAAGCTGCTAGTAACCAAGGGCATTGCTACTAGTCGCAAGAAGCTACTAGTAACAAGGGCATCGCTACTTTTCAACAAAAAGAAGACATCCCTGTAGTGGATTCAGTGAGCGTGCAGGAAGTCAGAAAAATAAAGGAAGCAAGATGAAGCAAGGTTTTGGGACACGTTCGGGATTCAATATTCCATAAGATTGCTGCAGCTACCGGGCCACCAGAAGGCTTGGGATGCTTGGGGCATAGGCATAGGGCATAGAACAGCTAAGCTCAAGCTGGTAACTCTTGCAAGATCAAAGTCCATCTTATCAACCCTCGAAGTCCATGTTCTTCGGCGTCTCTCGAGCGACAGCGACCCGAAGAACACACAACCGAGTCAAATGGAGACGGGACCACGGAGCAGCGGTCTCCGTGGCAGTTCGAGGAGCTCAGCCTCTCTTCAGCACGAGTCAGTGCAACGCTTCCGGCATGGGCCGACAGCAGCTTAGAGGCGGAGGGTGGGTCAAAAACGGACGGACGGTCCCCCCCAATAAGAAGAGTCGGTGGACACATGTGGAAATTGGAAACCGTAAGTCTTTAGATCAAGACTGAATCACAACTTTTAGAACAGGTCGTTCAAGCCCGACGCAGTTTTTCTACCACTGCAGTGACTGCAGCTAGGTTTTTAACACTGCATTTCGTTCCGGCACAAGTGCGAAGGGGTGGAGAGGGGGTAAACCATCGCAAAAAGAATGCCACCACTGGCACTCCAAAGAAACTGGACCTTGGTGTGTGGAGCTGCGAATCAAGCTTGTGTGAAACAAGTTTTGCTTGTTCAAGTCTTGTTTACACAATCTTGTTCAAGGAGACTTTGGTGTGTTTGAGCCTGGCCGCCTTTTACATCGCCCTCCTTTGAATTGTTATTTTAAGTGCATTGGACCAAGTGCTTCAGGTCTGAAAACTGCAAGCCTTTGACTGCAATGAGATCTTTCACAACACGAACCTCCCACAGGTTGTTCCGTAGCTACGCGTTTCTCGTTGGTCGGAATTGTACGTCGAGAACATGTGACATCCTGGCGAAAGTTATTTTCCCCATGATCCATGACTGTGAGGCCTTTCAAATATGGCAGGACCTTGGGAGGATGGGCATGCGACCTTGGAGAACCATTGACAGTGCGTACATGACTCAGTACAATGGATGTACCACGGTGATCACTGGAAGTAAATCCCACCCCATTTGAGGAGGCCCATTTGAGGCTCACAGTCTAGCCATACTTGGAGATCCTGGATTGAACTACGGTCTCAAGACATCACCCCGTTGAGCGGTCAAACCTTCACCCCGTTGGCACTCCGCTTCGCACTCCGAAGCCACCTGCCTCCCCCCGGCAGGTGGCTTTTCACCGGCTGCAACGGATGTTTTTTGATCGGGACCATTTCGGGAACAGAAGATACGGTGGAGACGGGTCGTGTGACTTCTCACCTTGGTGGCAGGTGCAGAGTCGAATTGAAGAGATCGATGAGAAGCAACGGGAGGTGCCACGAGAGGTTCAAAAGCTCTTTCGGGTGCTTCGGGAAAACAACGCATGTAACTTGCCAACACGCTGCGAAAAAACGTCCACAGCAGCCATGAATGTATATTGTATACACGCATACGATGTATTCTTTTGTGGCCCAGGAACAGATCCTCGCGAGATGATGCGAGACGATGCGACCCAGAACCGGTCGCATGGACTCTAAAACCAACCCAGACCCGGGGACCCGGGCATGATTCGCGTGACGGGAGTCCATGAGGTCCGGTTCAAGTCCTTGGGTCCGGTTTACCAACTGGAGGGCTTCTATTTATCCTGAGGAACGTCTTAGGGGAGGGAGTGCTCATTCTCGTTCCTCATTCCCAATACACGTCAGTTCTGTGGTATGCGCTGCAGCAAACCACGTCCTGAAGTCCCTACACTCCCTGGAATCCTCATGGTTACGTGGAGTGACGCCATGTGAAAAACATGTGGAAAAAACAAAACAAACACCTGTTATATGTTGGGTGTTCGGAGGACCGGCGTCCTTTTATAGGGCCACCCTGCCTGCCATCCACTTGGGAGTGGAGGGTTGCGCGGAGACGTTTGGCAGGTGCGCGATGCCAACCAACGTTTGAAGGAGAAGCAGAAAGAGCTGGCATTGGCTGAGGAGGAGCGCCAATCGATGGACGACCTGTATGTAAAGAAATGGGACGGATGTTTTGGTGAGCTTCGGACTGGTGAGGTTCTGGTCAAAAGAGGTCAAAAGTGGGTCCAATTTTGAGAGGAGTGATGTTCAACACCCTTTGAGGTGTCCAAAGGTCATCAAAGGTCAAATTCATCCGAGTGAGTAAGCGATAAACTTTTATATGGGCATGGGCCATGTGATTATTGTTCAAAGCATCTCAAAACCTACTGACCTGGGATCAACCTCCAGCTGGAAGTTCAGGTGTTGAACATCCTGTCGTACATGTGTCGTGGCTCCACCCGATGGGATCAGGGCTCGGCCGGGGGCAGATTTGCCCCTGCCTGGGCAGCCAGGTCGGACACCTTAACCCATGCGACCGCTGCTGCCATGTTTGGCAGTACTCGTTGTGGCCCATAAGACCCATTTCAATGGCAGCTGTGGGGAAAGCTACACGAAGGAGGCACCCGAAGCACTAAGCTCATCCTTGCTGCAGAATGCAGCGCGTCTTGGAAGCTTGCCAAGCGACATTCCAGCCAGCAAGCGAACTATCAATTCAAAGGTGACCTGCAGTACTTACTGCTGAGACAATACATTTCTCTTCGCACACCCCTCTTCTGCGGAGAGTATGCCATGTTAGAGTCTATGTCTATGTTTGCTTCTTAATTCAATTGGGTCCATATTCGTCCCGCAAAAGACTAAGGTGAGGTTCGTGTTCTTTGCAGGGCTCGAGGGCACCGGGCATCATTTCTGGAAGGGCATTCTTCTTCGGCTTCCATCCATCTACGTCTCGGCACAGACTGCAGAGTTGTCCAAAACCCTCTTCAATGGGCCCACGGGAGATGGGCTTTTCAGTTCCCGAGAGTTTTGCCATGAAGGTTTTTCTCCTATGAAATATACCTTCCATCGAACATGTTCGACATGTTTGATCTGGAATCCAGCCGTTTCATTGGTTGTTTGTTGTTGAGAGCAACCCTGATGAATGGATGTCTGAGGGTAGATCCAGCAGATCAGAGGCATGTTTGCATATGTTTAAAAAGGTAGGAGCTCCGCCGGAGCTCTCGGCTCTGTGTCTCCATGGCAGGTCTTGCTTTGTGGAAGCATGATCACCCGTGTTTGGACCATCAATGCGTGTCGGCACCCATCTCCCACAATCTCCGGCTACCAAGTCAGACCTTGTGAAACAGAGCCCTAAGAGAAGGGGCGACAGTCAGACCTTGGGTTTATCCCTTCGAAGAACTGATGCAAGGTTCTTTGGATGAATATCTCCGTGTGCAGTCGGGGCAGCGTGTGGTAAGCCTCATGGCGGAGATGAACAATGAGCTAAGCATCACACCAGGCTGTAAGCTGATCCCCTTAAACCTGCAGCACGAAACTCGGCAAAAAAGACGCACGACACGTGTCCGTGCGTTGTTCACCCAGAGTTTTACCTCACATGCATCACGTTGAGCGGCAAAAAGAAAGTGCGAGGCTTGAGCTTCATGTGTCCTTCTAGGGCCCCGTCATTTTTGATTGATGGTGGTGGATTTAGGTTCAGAAGCCAGCAGATTAATCATATTCCATAATATATCATTAATTATATGATTATATACATTATGTGTCCCAAAATACACAGGAAGATCATGGAAGTGGATAAACAGTTTGTTGTCCACCAAAACATCATGCTCCGTGCTTCCCAATCATGTCGTTTAATACGAGTTTCTTCCCTTGAACCCAGCCCTGAACACCGGCGGCCTGACCGGGCACCGAGGATGCAGACATTGGTATGATGTCCTACCCCAACTTCGAGGGTGTTGATCGGGCCACGCAGAATCCAGACGCTGGTCCCAATGAAAGAACATCACAGTGACATGTGGTGACGTTTTGAAAAAAGCACGGTGGCCGTGGACACCCTTTTGCATATTTTCTTGATGCATTTGTGGTTCGTTGTTGAGCATTTTGTTTGCACCTGTCGACAGGAGGCTACAGCAACTGAGGAATCGACCGATGTGTAAATCAAGCCATGCTAAGCCCACTCATACTGATGGTACACACGCATGTGCGGCATGTACAATATAGACTATAGACATCTATAGACTATAGACTATAGAGATGATCGCCCTGAAAGAGGATTTTCTGTAGAAGACTAGCCTTGGGTTGCACCATTGTCTGTTGCACCATTGTGGTGAACAGTTGCGTGGCAGATGGCACTGGTGGAATTCAGGTCCCAGGCTCGCCGCAGTCCATGGAGTCCATGGGAAACCACACACTCCACCCTTTCCGGCCATGGCAACACGATGGGCTGGTGAAAACGTGTAGTAAAACCGAAAACGCCAGGTATTCAAGGTTCCACTTGCATGTGAAAATCATGTGAAGTGGTTTTCGGGGGGGCCATGGTCCAGATCCCGTTCCACTTGCACCAGGATATCTTCGAGTTGGCAAAGCTGGCGGAAGCGGCTGGGGTGGATCTTCGGATCGTGCTGCTCACACGTCATCCTTCAGACCTCGTTCAGAGCCCTGCTCAGTTGGTTTTTCGAAACCAAATGGGCAATGAAAGCAGAACATAGCAGAACATCCAAAGGGCAGACCAACACCTTTGGGGCCATGCCATTGGAGTGTGCGCATCTATATTTGTCAGTGATTGCGGGGATTGAACGTATCAGGGAGAGGATGGTAGCCTAGCAGGTCATCGGAAGGGTAGCAAGTTTTTGTCTGGGGCGGGGTCCCATAAGCAAAGCGTTTGGCTAATCTCCACAGAATGATTCGTTTCGCCATGTTTCCTGTCCTACAAGCGTCTCGGGTATCAATCGGGTGTCCTTGAAATCCATCCTTTTTCTTCGGTCCTTTTCGCAAGGAGTGAGATGAAAAATCTGCATGAGATCAACAAGGTCCAAGCTGTTCGAAAGATCTCCACGAGCATGGCTCTCCTGAGCGAGCAATTGAATTTCTTGGATCCTTCCTTCGTGGAATGTTGGAGAGACTCGGTGAGAGCGATGCTTCCGAAACGCTTTGTCTTTGTCTTTGCCCATATTTAAGCCTTCAAGGGAAACCTGGGTGTCATCCATATTCATTCCGATCAGGCAGCTCTTGCAAGACTTGTTTCCCCCTCTTTGGGAAACCCTAAGGAGGCTGAAGAGTGGATTTTTAAGCCACGACTGAGCATTTTTGGAACCTTCTCCGGGCTGTTTGGCATCCCAGGATATGAAGAGCCATTGGCCAAGAGCCTCCAGTTGCTCTCCTTCTTAGGTCATTCGACTGAATCACCGGGTGGCCAACAGCGACTCGAGGGACTGAGGGGTTCGGAGGATTTCTTCGATTGTTTGCCTCGACCACCGGACGAGGCGTTTTTTTTCGGAGATCCTCTACGGACAAGGCGTCTTGCCTCGCTGTTGGACGAGGCGGTTGAGCCAGGGTCTCCAACCCTTCTCAGCAGGTCGATCTTTGCGAAGCGTTTTAAAGTATTTTATTAGAGTGCCCAAGTTTTGGTATATTTGGGTCGTGCGCAAGGATGTCTTTGTTTTGGCGTGTGGGGAAACGGAGCGCTAGACTCGAGTCGGTGTCCAAGTTCAACGGCAAAGGTCGGAGTTCTTCTGGAATCAAAACCGTTCTTGAGGTCTTTGTGAAGAGAATCTGGAAAACTTTCAGTTGCTGCTGAAGGAGAACTACAACGCCTCGTCCAATGGCTTTCCCGCCCTCTCAAGGGAGCTTCAAGTGACCCTGAGCACTGCCCAAGAGATGCATCAGAGGCTCATGACCAAGTGGTGCTGAGAAAAGGTGCCTGTCGTGTGAGGATGAGGATGGATCGGTGAGACGACTGGGAGTCCCATGGTGATAACAATAGGTAGACCTGTTATGACCTGTGAAAAACCTGTTTGAACCATCCATATCCCTTTGTGTCATTTCGCGGTCTTTCCCAGAATTCTACTTCAGGATCAAGGATTTGGGTCCATCCATGGTCCAAAAAAATAAACGTGCCTCTTTCGGTGAAAAGGAAACGAAAAGCGCCAGGAGATGCAAAAGGCCGAGGGCCGAGCGAGGGACCTCAAGACCCAGCTGAGTGCCATGCTGCAAGCCAACCAGACCAGCGAGGCCTTGCAGGTGCGCAGCCTGGGGAAAGGGATTTTTGGGCACAGCCGCAGGAAGATCCGAAGTCCTTGCTGGCCTGGTGGCTGTGTGTGTGTGTTTTGTTTTTTTCTCAGTGTCAGGTCCAGACTGAACGTTAGGAGCTCAGTATTGAAGCGATCAAAAACAATACTGGGTTTGCTGTTTTCAGCATGCGGGTAATCACATTGAGGTATCCGAGCGTGCCCCCCGTGAGAGGTGCAAGCAAGGCATTCATTTTTGCCCGGGTATGTTGCAAACCCATGTAGGAAAATATAGTGCTGCCAGAGGTTTCCCGCTCATGCAGGGCCATGCGCGACCACATTGAACACCCAATTCCAATGGCACTCGCTGGAACAATCATGGAAATGGAGAATAGCCTGATAATATCCCCATGGAAGCCATGTTCCTCCACAAATTAGATATATCAAATTAGCAGGTTCACCACGTCCATGAAAAATTCAGGGAGCGACTAATTCCTGATTCATCATAGAGGACTGCAAGACTGGACACTTCACAGAAGCACGGAAGAATCGAGCACGACCCGAGCCACCACATGGCAGTAGGACTAAAGCAACTTCGGACTCATGCAACGAAAGTTCGGTTGCACCAGGTGGTTCAGGGTTTAATGCTTCTTGGTTCGGGGTTTAATGCTTCTTGCTCGAGGTTAAGGAAAATTTGATTTATGATTTAATACCATGTTTTGTCATGGTTCAGCTCGAGTCTCTCGAATATCTCTTTTTTCTTCGGACGATCATTTATGAACATGACAAGAAAACTTGGGTTTTGCTCACTCTTTCCCTAAGGGAGAATGGCCCAGAAGGTGGATTCCTTTCCCGGTTTGGAACCAGCGGCCGCCTCGAAAGACCGACACGACCGACCCGACCGACCCGGGAAGCCTCGCACGTCGCACGGTGCTGGAGTCACTCCACTTTGGAGGAGGTTTGGTAGTGTGTCTCTTTTCGCGAAGCTACAATCAACCCAGGTTTTATATGGATATATACAGTGGCTCAGGAGCATTGATAATCATACATCATATGCATCTCTGCATTAAAGGTGCCACACCTGGACCTTCCAGCATTTGTCCATTTGTCCTTGCCCTCATGCATCATTGGGCGCAAGTCCTTCCCGAAGCTCCTGCTTGAGTTGAAGTGCCTACTTGGAGGGAAGGTTGTTTTATTTGCATGTTCGTGCTTTGAAAACACCCAGAGAACACCCAGAGAGGGTGGGTGTTTTCACCCCAGCAGTCGCTCCAGGCAGAAGAAGAAGAGCTCCGGCAGACGGTGGCCCTGAAGGCGAAGCAGCAGGCCAGTGCGGTGCCAGGTACCGGGCCTTCCAAGTGCCCGGGGAGGTTTACGGGGGGCAGCTGAAAGGATCTGAAAGTATGGCACCTTCTAGTTTTCCCAGAGTAAACAAGTGAAGATGTCGATCAAAAGGTGTCTCGGAGTTTATGTTGAATTATGTTGCTTGCGAGGAATTGAGCAAGTGTTTGATGATATTCCCTTGGCATCTGCTGAGCAGTACTGTGGTTCATAAACGACCTCACGCGCCAAATGCCCAAGTCTTTTTTGACGAGATGTCGACCATGGACCGATATCTCGGAGAGGGATCCAAGACGACCTGATGACCTGGGTGAAACGAAAAAATTAACATTAAAAAAGAAAACGACGTTTCTGGGTCTCCAGGTCATTCCAAGTCTGCGATTCTCAGAATCTCACCACCCGCGACGCTAGGCGAACCTGGCTCAACAATTGCATGAAGCCAAGGCGCAGTTTCATGGTTCTGGGTGTGGCCTAGGGAAGTCTGTTTCATGTCAAATCCGAGGCAGGCAACGTATGGCGCATCCGGAGCCCCGGAACGAACACCCCGGTAGGTTGACCTCCCCAGACGGTGTATTCTGTGCATTGTTTGTGGTCAGCCGGTCGGTCCTCCTTTTGTTCACCCACTGCAAAATAGGTCAGGTCATTTTGACTACTTGATTCCTACTGTAAGGTTTGCATTGCTGCAGGAGTGTGCACCTGTTTGCTGGACCCGGGGGCGTAGACTGGACAGAAAGCTTGCTTCGCTTGCTCCAAGAATCGAACAGCGGTATGCACTGCCTTCTGCCAGCGAAGATGGGATCCTGTGGTTGTGTTGCTTCGGCACAACCAAAGGGCAGGGGTCAGCAAGACTGCGCAAGGGAGACAGAGTAGTGGGCCAGGCAAGGTAAGTTGAATTAACATTGAATTCAATATCCGAAAAAATTGTGAGGACGGTCAAGTGGCTCGCTCAGATCCATACAGACTCGTACAGCATGGTCCCGAATCGGCGGCTGTGCTACTAGGTGCATGAACCACGACCACAAATGCATGCTGCATATCATCCTGAAAGTCGCTGGATTCTTCGCTCAGTGTGTGCCGTTTCCATTCGATTCAATTTTAGCTTCTGTGGAGATCTGACAGGGTGGCAGTGGATCCCAAGAGAAGGAGACCTGTCCATCCTGCACACCCCAGACCAGCAGGCTTCATCCAGCAGAAACTCGACTTCGACTTATGTCATGCAAAAGGATGTTCATCGAAGCCGAAGCCCTTTCACGGAAGACCAAGACCTCAGAACTGTCTTGGTCTCAAAAAGCCTGCCGGACGTGTTCAAGACATGTCTCCGCCCATCGAGTGATTTCGCTGACCTTTTTGAGCTCCTTCGTTCTGAAGAAGTTGACCTCTCGGACAGGTCTTGCTGGGTTTGGAGCTGGAGACTTCCAGAAACGGAGTATAGGAAGTATATATAGAGAGAGAGAGAGACTTCAAAAATCGCTCCACGATAGTTCACCCCAAGTCTCGGATAGTCTCAGGAGGCTTTTGGAAGCCTCTCTATCTAATCAGGTGGGAGGTCTCTCTCTCTCTCTTTCTCTTTCTTTTTCTCTTTCTCCTTTTTCTCTCTCTCTCTCTCTACCTGAGTCGGTCTCTCTACTCCTGCAAGGCAAAGAGAGATCACCTTGAAGAACTACATCAGGCGGTGGTCGGACACAGATTTGTTTGAAGATCGGTCCCCAAATCGATCAGTAGTTCTTTTGGCCCTTTGGAAGGGGATTCTCTTTCGTTGGAATTACTGTAGTGACTATGATAGACATGTGTCCAACTTCTTTTGTAGCAGGCCATAGCGGTCCCCAAATAGGTAGAAACAATTTCCAATACATGTTGAAAGGATTTTACTTTTCTATCTATTTGGGGGTTCTATATAAGGGGATGTAATTGTCTATAGGAGCGCACTAGGTCAGTAGGTGTGGAAGATGATCGAGTGGGACGTTCTGTTGCTGGACAAAGGGGGTGTGAACACTGAAGGCCCAAAACCACCCAACCTCCCAACCACACGTACGCCAATTCAACCAATTAACCATTGATCATCATTAATGACTCTGAATTAACCCAATGCAAACAAACAAATGAATTGGCAACATGTTGAAATATATGTGATTTTTATATAACTCTATGTACTCATAATGTGCCCATTATATAATTGGAATGAACCTCACCACATCGAGGTGACAATAGTAGGTGTTATCCGCCATGTTATCCCAACACACCTGAGCAGAAGAAAACCTTGGCAAAGGTTGCACAGTTGTTTCCCCTTTTGGAGAGATAGCTGCAAATCATGATGAATCTATGGGCCTTGTAACTTTTGACCAGCACATGCAACTGGGTGTGTCAAAGAAGAAATGAAGAACAAAGAAGTGAACTGTGAATATGTGTACATATATATACACATATTTAATTGTTTAATTGTTTGGGGTGGTTCTTACAGTTCAGATTGTAATAATGATAGATATATGATGAGATATGATATCGCAGGAATACTTTGAGCGGCGATCGACATCAACCAACTGCAGGTACCGCATGGCTGCCACCCGACTTCGAGCAAGTTTTCACAGGTTGTTAGTTGATTGCATAAGTGCAGG